TATATATAGCCAAATTCTTGGGGATCATTCTGCATATATATAATGAATGTGTATTGTTATAAGCTGCTAAATTGGAGTAAGTAGTCTGTTTGGCCATTCATTTGTAAACATTTGTTGATTGAATGAGTGAATGATTATTGTGCCCTGAATCTCCTGAGTAGGATTCGGAAAACAAGTGCCCAAAAATACTAAGATCAAGGCTGTAGTTTGTGTAACTCCCAAGTCTCACAGACTATAGAGCAAACCCCCAAAGAGAAAGCCTGTTTGCTTCCAGAAACCAAGTTTTATGCAAATAGCCTTACCTTACCTTTTCCAAGACTAGCTCTTCACACTGCTAGAATTCAGGGGTCTCCTAAGAATATGGATTTTAGAAGTCTATACCCACCTTTCTGATAATACATGGGTTCTTCAACTGTGCACCCCCTTTTCTTGGTTATTGTTGATACCATGCTTTTGTGGGAAAACTCCCAAATTGAATACTTTGTGGATTATGAGTACACTTCATGAATATACAGGATGCCATATAAAATAACATAAATGTTTCCTAATAGAATTAGTACACTTTCCAAGCAGTTCAGCTTGAGGCAATTATTGCACTTCCTGGGAGATACAAATTACTTTGCCCTCAGCCTCATACCAAATAACCCCCCTAAGACGCACACTAATTACCCAGAAATACACTGCCTGCCATAGCTCATTGACTAATTGACAATCAGTTTAAAACTTCAGCAAAATATCTTAAAACTTAGGCTTCACATTTAGCAAGGAAACCAACTTTGTTTATCTCCTCATTTTGGTCTGCCTCATTGGCAAAGTTGTAGTATGGTTTGTAAGTAGTGACTGAGCAGGCTTATTATAATGATCAATGATAAAGGAAGAACATTCCATCATACTGTACAGCATTTCCATCTCTCATTTCTGTGATTCTATTAAGAACAATTACCAATAATATATCCGTTAATGTAATACAAAAATAGAATGCAACCATGTGTGCAATAGTCATTGCTAATGTGGTCTGCTGAGCTCAGTGCACAGCTGTCACCAACTCTTTTCTCATGCACTTCTCAGATGTAGCCTTCGCATTCTCTGTGCCCTTTACATTCTGATCTGAGCACTTGCACCCAGAGTTCACACTGTACCTGTTTGTGCTCCTCCTGCGTCAAAAGTGAGTCGTGGACAAAAGCCAAATTCTTGGGGATCATTCTGTATTATGTTTTCTATTTGCAAATAGTTGTTAGGAACCTAACATCTTTATAAAGTCTTGCTAAATTTTATTTCTAATCATCTCAATCTTTCTAGGAGTTGACATATTATCACAAACCCTTGCTCTGGATTTGCGGGAATAGTCCAGTCTTATAGAGATGTGTATCCAAATTTCAAAGAACCGATTTAGAATTGAATATCTGCTATATGACCCATCCACATTCCTGGGATAGGTGGTACAGAGCAAATCTGGAGGAGGATAGAGTTATGGAAGGGGCAATCATTGTGAAATTACTGGACTATCATTTCTATTAGTATTGCAGGGTGCAGCCATCCAATATCCAACTAGGAGTGGCTTAAACAATTAGGGAATAATGTTTTGCACAGAATAAGGCTTTAAAAGGCAAGAAGTCGGGCTGGGACTGTAGCTGTGTCACTGAGCTCAATTCCTTTTGTTGTCCTATTCTCACATCCTTTGCCTATTGATAGGTTGCCTCCTGCTTTGAAAATGACCACTGCAGAGAAGTGGGAATGTGCCCCTGCCATGTCTAACAGGTCCATCAGGGCAACACGGGCAGATTTCAGCTTAGGTTGCAGTCACTGCAACTGACATATTGACCGCATCTGGCTATAAGGGAGGGCTGCAAGCTGTGTTAGGGCGGCTGAGTGCTGCTCCAGTAAGTCAGGGTTTTGTTAGCAAGGGGTAGTTACATGGATCCTGGAGTGGGCAGTGTACCCTCTGAGAGGGTCTGATGGAAGAGGTGCTCTCTCATGTGGAATATGAGTGACGGACACAATTCAGGCAGAGACAGGAGAGAAACAAGGGCCCTTGGTGGAGTGATAGTGAAGTAACACTGGGGAAAAAAATAACAGTGGCCTGTTCAGGAGACTCTGAGAAGGCCATTCCAGAAAAATTCTGTTCAGAGAAGTTGGGATATGTCCAGTTTCTGGAGGAACTCACCTCCTTTCCACCCCAACCATGCCTCCACTTTACTTAGGTTCAGTTGGAACTTCTGATTAAAAAAAAAAGAACAAATCTTAAGGGGACTCATCTCCCTGCACTTTGATCTTTCCCTAAGTGAGAAAGTCTTCCGCATTGGCTACATACTAGGACAAGTGGAGAGAAGTTTAAAAAAAACCAATGTGGATATCACATCTAACGAAATTGGCCTTTGGGGGTGGGATCATGATAAGAGTTTGATAACTGGATCTGAGAAAGGAAAAGTACTGTGTGTGTGTGTGTGTGTATGTGTGTGGTGTGTGGTATGTGTGTAGAGTCATTACAAATATACTCATATAAATTGTTATAGCGCATGACCTATGTGCACTATATAAAATATGCAGCATAATACTCCTCTATTGGGTGCTCTTCAGATGGCTGGTTCCCACGTAATGCTTTCCTGGATTCTTGCTGAACTCTTGGGTATGTAGTTAACCTGTGGCTGCAATTTAATCATGATTTAATAAAATCTAGCCATACACAAATATTTGGTTATGGTCCAAGTTCAATTACTGACTCACAAGGATAGTTCTAACATGTGTGTTGCTTGATATTTTTGTCTATTGACAAACAAGATGGGAGTGAAACAGTGAAGAGTATGTTGGGATTTCACCTGTTCATCAGTAACATGAGAGATTTCTTTGCCAATTGAGTAACAGCTGTCAATAGTAGAAAAATATGTCCTCAGTTTTCTGTTATTCTCAGTGCAATGGGTACAGATACAACTTTTAATTTGCATTAA